GGAAAAAAATGTGCAAAGGTCTGGCAAGCATGTACTATATTAAGGCAACAATCCAATTTCTTACTAAGGGAGTATAAAACAGAAACATAATCTAATGAAACCTTAAAAAAGAATTCTAACAAACATTCTTAGATAAGAGTTGCATTGCTTGGTTTTATAAGTTGCCTTTTTACTCCTGGTAGACTCCAGATGGATTTGAATGAAAACTGAGTTACTCAAAATGATTTAAAAGTTGTATACTTTCCTTGTGTGTGTATGTGTATATGCACATGTACATATATAGATGGATGGATAGATGCTTATGTGTGCATACATGTATGTAAACCAACACAAAGAGAAAATTTTAAATGTGGTAAGCCATAGTCTCTCAAAAGAAGTGATAGCAGAGGAAAGTGAGAGTAAGCAGGGCGTCAATGTGATTAAAGTATAGTGTATGTGGGAGGAATATCAAAGTGGAAACCCCTTTGAACAATTAACATATATTTTCAAAAATGAATGACTGGAGGGGAAGGGAAAAAACAAAATGTTTAAATAGAGATACAGGTTGACCCATTGTAACAATGAGATGTACAAGACACTGTTGAAAACAAACTTTACAACTTTGGCGGGGGAGGGGGGGTAGCTGTGGAGGTGGAGAGGGAAGGGATAGTAGGGGAAAAACAAAGGAGGAGGCAACAATGTTTGATAGGAAATGTACTCATTACCTTGCTCATGATGAATGACTGGGTCAGGTGCTGGTGGCTCATACTTTTAATCCTACCTATTCAGGAGGCTGAGCTCTGGGGATCACAGTTTGAAACCAACCCAGGCAGGAAAGTCTGTGAGATTCTTTATCTCTAATTAACCACCAAAAGACTAGAGATGGAGGAGTGGTTCAAGTGATTGAGTGTTAGCCTTGAGACAAAAAGCCAAATAAGAGCATGAGGCACTGAGTTCAAGCCCTAGTTACCAGCACACACACACACACACACACACACACACACACACACACACACACACACACACACACACACACACACACAGAGATTAATAACTAAACATAGGTACACTGTTCAAGTGATTGAGTGTTAGCCTTGAGACAAAAAGCCAAATAAGAGCATGAGGCACTGAGTTCAAGCCCTAGTTACCAGCACACACACACACACACACACACACACACACACACACACACAGAGATTAATAACTAAACATAGGTACACTGGATCTAAGATTGCATATTAAGCATTAATAGTAAGAACTAGCCTGATCTAGGTGACTGGAAAGAAAATATTAGCTAGTTCAATTTACATGGTGAAGTTACTTTATATATATAAAAACAGAACATAGCAACTTACTTTTACATAATGAACATTTTCTTCCCAATCATTTCATAGGAGGACCAACTAGGTTTAATAAACACTAAAGTATCTTGTGTTTGTTTTCTAAAGCATTTTAAGCAAGCAACTAACGTTATTAAAAAGCAAAAGTATTTGTTCTCTCCTTTTAAAGAAGCTTGAGGGAATGATCATTAATAGGAAAACTCAGGGCATTCTCATGATCACAAAACTTGGAAACTTTTCACCTTTTCAATTTCAAGACCCTTTTATAAACAAACGCAAGGTTTTGTTTTTTTGTTTCGTTGGAGTTTTTTGTTTTGTTTTGTTTTTTGGTGCTGCCATGAGGTTTGAACTCAGGGCCTGGAGCCCTATCCCTGATATGTTTTTGCTTCTACCACTTGACCCACAGCTCTACTCTGTCTTTGGCGGGGAGGGGGGGGGGAATAGTAGTTAATTGGCAACAAGAGTCTTATGGACTTTCTTGCCTGAGCTGGCCTTGAACTGTCATCCTCAGATGTCAGTCTCTTGAGTAAGATTACAGGCATGAGCCACCAATGCCCAGCTAAGACATGAATGCTTATTCTTCCAAATAGTGACATTATATGTGGCATATATATATATATCTATATATATATATAATTATATATATATAGATATATAATTTTATTTTTTAGATTGAAAAACAAAGGAAACCTATTCATGATCAACAAATACACTAAATGTACCTCAAGCCTGGAGGGCTTGACTTTTGAAGGAAAGCTTTTCAACATCAACTATTTGACATCTTATTTGGAGGATTCTTTTTCTTGTTATAAATACATAAGGCTATTATTTTTGGAGGAAGATCCACTGACAGTCAGTTTTATCTACCCTATCACTGTTGGATATGTTTTAGAACAAGAAAGTCACTTTCTTTCTTTGTGGGCTGAGATATAAAGCCATAATCTGATGTTATTTGCATGTGTGCCAGTACTGGAGCTTCTAACTCAGGGCCTGTACTCTGTCCCTTGGTTTTTTGTTGTTGTTGTTTTGTCACTCAAGGCTAACACACTCCATTTCTGGATTTTTGGTGGTTAATCTGAAATAAGAGTCTCTTGGATTTGTATTCCTGGGCTGGCTTTGAACTGCAGTCCTCAGAACCCAACCTCCTTAGTAACTAGGATTACAGGCATGGGCCACCATCACCCAGCTCATCCTTCAAGTGGTAAATAATACTATACTTCACTAATGCATTTTTTAAAAAATAACTAATTTTTTATTTTCCAGTGAGAAATTTCTTCAGCATTTCACATCAAACTAAAAGTTAAGAAAAAAGAAGAGAATTAAGAAGCTAACATAGCCAAAACCACCGTTTGCGAGTCTCTCCTAACATAATGTCATATAAGGGGCAGAATTGGATGTCCACCGGTTTAATTCAGAAAGAGATGGTGTTATGTTTCTGAAAAATATAGTTCTTCTATCTCTTTCACAAATAACTATTTCCAGGTGATAGCATGAGTTGCTGATACATTGTAACTTTATAACTCTCTATGAAAGAATCTTGCAACATCTAGTATGTCAGAGATCTTTCATTTAAGTCAAACTAGGACAATATTCAGACAACTCCACTTCTTGGTCACATGATAAAAATATTATAAATTACAAAAAGCAATGAATGTAAATGGTAAATGGAGGAGGTTGAAGAAGCATATCTGTGGGCAAAAATGTACAAGGGTTTTACTTCTTAAGATATTTTTTCCTAGTTTAAAAAGTTAAAAGTATTCTTACAAATGTTGGAACAAAGAACTGTTTATTGAAATGAAAACTAGCCCAAGAGAACATAGAATCTCCAATAAGGATTGAATAAAGTATTTGGTAATATACACATTCATACTGTATAGGATATTTTGAAGGGAAATCCAAATAAATTTTTATACCCTCTTAATTATCCCAAAAAAATCTTTAAAAAAAATTTGGATACTCTAGTATAAACATGCAAGCACAAATAGGTTCTTAAAAATAAAAGCAATGTCTCCAGGAAGCCCTTTCTCCCTTAATTGCAGTATTTTGCATTAAATCCAGAAGTATACAAAATTAATTTTGAGATTCATTGAATTATCTGTATCTGATTTACATTTTATTTAATGTGTAAGTCTGCAGAGGAAAAGTAGTTGAGAAGCCAATGATAAACAGTTTTAAAAAATCTTTGAAAAACAACTTCTATAATAAACAAAATGCCAAGTCATCAATTTCTTCAAATCACCAAATTTTCCTGAAAACTGGGGGGGGGGGGGGGGGTTTGTTTTGTGTTTTTGGTGATACCAATGTTGGAGCTTGAATTTAGGGCCTGGGTACTACTGTCCCTTAGCTTTTTCGTTCACGACTGGCACTCTACCACTTGAGTCTGAGCTCCACTTCCAACTTCTTTTTCCTGGTGAATTGAAGATAAGTCTTCGTGGACTTTCCTGCTCAAGCTGACTTGGAACCTTGATCCTCAGATCTAAGTTTCCTGTGTAGCCAGAATTAAAAGTGGTTGGCATAGTGAGACATAATTTACTAATTCCCGTCTATGTAAACTTGCTTCAGATATTTCTAACCCTCTAATATTTAAGATTAAAAAAAAAATAGTACTCCACCCTTCCAAGGATTCCAAGACACCTTGCCCTAACTATATTTGAGCCTCTCTCAACACTTCCGAGGGGGTTTACGTTTTACGCATCGAGACTTCATATCATCCTATTGATCCCATTCCATAAGTAACCCCGGCAAGCTGAAAGACCAGGACAGGTTCTAAACACGTTCAATTCCATAAAGCCATTAGCAATAAATTTGATCGGGCAGATTGCTTGTGACAATAGAAACTGCTGAAGAAAGCACCTATTAGTCACTCTAAACAAACCCATCGGGATTAGAAGAATGAGTTAAGATCGTCTAAGGACACAGCCAAAAAAAAAGAAAAAATTAATCCAACTGGATCTGAGTCTTGGAGCATTCTCTTTTCACCGCCACTAATTTCTTTGCCTCTTATAGGACTCAAAGGTCCCCATCCTTCTTGCTACTCCCACCAAGTTAGGTTAAACTACTTAAAACAAACCCAAATTGCCCTTCTTTCCATGAATTCCTATTTCTTGGTGAACTTCCGAACTTCAGTTGCCAATTTGGCTGGTGGGTTTTTGTTGTTGTCGTTTTAAAGATGCACGCCATGGGAAATTCGGCCTTCCCTTCTTTGTGCCTTATGTGATCCAAAAAGTGAGCGCAGAGAAGACCCAATCCTGGCACAACTCTGTGACTGACTACAGGTCACCGCGCGCCTTCCTCAGCCACCCAGAGTGGACTACGGGGTGGTCGGCGCCAAGCTCAACACCTTGCGGAGGGCCAGAAACGCTGGATTTGGGAAACCCGGTGGAACTCGGGCATCTTGGGGAGGGGGAGAGAGGGTAGGAGGGTCCGGGTCTGTCCTTTCCAACCCCAAAGGCTCAGGGTTTCTCTGTCCAAAGCAAAGTCGTCCCATCACCTGTTGAAAAGGAGCTGGTGTGATGCGACGGGGATAAATAGTAATCGCAAAACCTGATGTCCCCCAAAGTGACCAAGGGACTAAAGTTTAGTCCTCCTCCGGGAGGACCCCAGCTCCGCACCACTGGGGGGGGATTTCCCAGCGTCCCAGGGCGCAGGCGCGCGCGGCTGGGGAAGGGCGGGCGCGCTCACCTGGGGCTGCAGACGGGAAGGCCCGGCCCGGCAGCCTAGGGCCGTCGGTCGCCGAAGGATTGAGCACCTGAAAAGCCCATCGCGTGCCGTAGGACGTCCCCGCGGCGGGGCTGAGCTGCTCGGCGGCGGTCGGAGGGCAGAGCTTCAGAGGGACCGGGCTGGCCGGCAAGGGCCGGAGCTGTGCGCCCGGGGTGGGGGCTAGGGTGGCCGCCAGACCTTGGAGTGGGGGCGGCGGCTGCACACCGTGCACCGTCCCGGTCGTCGGGGCGCTGCCGCCTCGGAGCAAGTTCTCGATCAAGAAACTCTTGCCCAGGTTGCCAAAGCCGGGCGCCGCCGGGAGGTTGAGAAGCGCCGAGGAAGCCACCACATCCCAGTAGGAGCCGGGGTGGGTCGCCACGGCGCTGGGCAGCATCGTGCGCGCTGCGCTGCGTCCCGCACCGGACCCCGAGTGTCCCGGCTCCGATGACCGCCGCGGCCTCCGATCGGTATTATTTGTTGGCCTTGGGCGTCTTTTAAGGAACTGGGGGAGGAGGAGGGACGGGAGGGGGGGGGCAAAGGGAGGAGGGACCGAGGGAGGAGGCGCAGAGGGAGGGGGCCCGGAGGGAGGGGGCAGCTGTGCGTTTCTGTGACCCGCACGCAGCAGCAGCAGCAGCAGCAGCAGCAGCAGCAGCAGCAGCAGCAGCAGGGTAGGTTCTGGGGTGGCCCGGGAATCTATGCAGATCCCGAGGGGGGATTTTCTCTAGAAGGACGGAAGGTGTGTCCAAGCCCATTCATTCTTGTCACCCGGCCCACCAAGTGACAGGCGCGGCCAACAATCAGGGCTACCCAACCCCACAGTCGGGGAGGGGGCGGGGGGCGGGGACCAGGGGAGGGGACGCTTGGAGCAGGAGATGGGCGTGGAGTGGCTTTGCTCGGGACGTACAGGTCCTCTTTCCACCGGGGGCCGAGCCTGGTCTCCCGGCTGGGACCCAGGAGGCGAGGTGGAGGCTGCGCGCGCGCGCGGGACACGTGCGCAAACTGAACTCCCGACGCCAGGGCCCTTGGCTGGCCTAGGTCGGTGTGTCTCTTGGTGAAACTATAGACATCCCGGAGACGAGCTGAGTCATACAAGGGCTGTGATCCTCAACTCAGGAAGACTAGGAAAGTAGTACAGAGATAGCCCACTGTACCTAGAGTCATTAAGGACCCCATGTTTGAAAGTGGAAGAAGTTTTGCTAATGAATCTGCAGGCTCTGGGAGATCATTTGGGGAAATTTCTCGGTTTCTATGATCCATTAGAAGGTTCCCGTGTAGCTGGGGCACTCGTGGTTCATGCCTGTAATGCTATCAGCTCAGGAGACTGAGGCTCACAGTTTAAAGCCAGCCCGGTCAGATAAACACAAAAGACTTTTATCTCCAGATCACTATGAACAAGCTAGAAGTGAAGGTGTTGCCCAAATGGTTACTGGCCCAGTCTTGAGCAGAACAGGCTAAAGCAAGAGCCGGAGGCCATAAATTCAAGCCACGGTATCTATACAAGAAATAAATAATAAAGAACATTCTGGAGAGGCGTATGCAGGCCCTGCATCCTGGTAGGAATGTTCTAATAAGATTTAATCTAAAGAAAAATCACAGATGGAAATGGTGCTGTGGCTCAAGTGGTAGAGCTCTCGCCTTGAGCTGAAGAGCTGAGGGAGAGCGCTCAGGCCCAGAGTTCAGGCCCCACGACCAACAAAAGAAAGAAAGATCACAGAATTGAATTTGACCAATGACATTGGTCAAACACACAGAGGAAAGAAAAGCCAGCAACGAATAATCCCTACTTGGGGTAGGGTGTTTCTCTGCAGAAAAATGGGAATAAAGACAATTTTCTATTTAGGATTACAACTACTTTTTTTTTCCCTCTCCTGAAAATTTAAGTATTTTTCAATTACTAAGTTTGCTAAGTGAAGAATGGACATGTGAAAAATATAAGATATGCTTGTGTGTGTTATGTATGCATGCGTGTGTGTATGAGAGAGAGAGAGAGAGAAAGGGAGAGCCAAAGGCTTTTTAACCACAAGACAACTTTCAAAGCTTCTCATTTTTGAAACTATCAATGGAGTGTTAAAACTGTGACTTCATTGTGATTTAGCACTTGCTACTGCTTCTTTCCTGCCCCAATTTATTTAGAATAAGGTTTTATAAGAAAGTCTGCAAAGTTTGGAGTCACATATGTAGTTTTACTCTTTATCCTAAAAATAATTTGCTCCCTGCCTTGTTTACTTGGAAGGTTGCCTAAAACTTGCCAGGCAGGATCTCCTTTAAAAAAAAAAAATTCTTCTGGAATAATACAGAGATAAGTGTGGCCCCTGTACAAGGGTGACACGGAAACTGTATATCTAGAAGATAGTATGTATTTAGAAAACGTGTGCTTCTCCAGATAAACATATTAAAATAAGCCATATCACAATTTAAGAGGAGGCTACAATGCTTGATAAGAAATGTACTCATTATCTTGCCCATGTAATTGTAACCCCTCTGTACAGTATTTTCACAATAAAAAAATAAATAAAATTTTTAAAAAAATTAATGAATTCTGTTTCCCACATGTCCTTAGACTTTGGGGGGAAAGAGTGGTATTGGGGCTTGAACTCAAAGCTTGAGCACTGTGTAGCTTTTTTGGGGGAGAGGGGGTGGTTATGGGGCTTGATCTCTGGGCTGGGCGCTGTCCCTTAGCTCTTTAGCTCAAGGCTAGTGCTGCTCTACCACTTGAGCCACAGTGCCACTTCTGGCTTTTTTTTCTGCTTATGTGGTGCTGAGGAATTGAACCCAGGGCCTTATGCATGTGAGGCAAACACTCTACCACTTGAGTCACAGCTCCACTTCTAGCTTTTTGGTGATTAGAGATAAGCTCCTGCTTGGGAAAGCAGGATCCTCAGATGTCAACATTCTAAGTTAATAGAATTGCAGGTGGCAGTCACTGGTGCCTGGCTCCTACAACCTTTTTTTATTTTTTCTTTTCCTTTTTGGATGGTCCTGGGGCTTGAACTCAGGGTCTGGGCTCTGTCCCTGAGCCTCTCTGTGCTCAAGGCTAGTGCTCCACCACTTGAGCCACAGCACCACTTCCAGATTTTTCTGTTTATGTGGTACTGAAGATTCAAACCCAGGGCTTCATGCATGCTAGGCAAGCACTCTACCACTAAGTCACATTCCCACCTCTTTGCAGCCTTTTTAAAGTTGGGATTTATCCATGTCATGAAGATCAAAATGTATTTGCAATTTTCAAGTTGTAATTTCCTATGCATTTATTAAATTAGCTGTTGTTTTGCCATATTAAAAAGTGAGAAGGTTATAGCAAGTGGCCTTATGGCCTAGACAGACTTTTTTCTTTTTCCTCCCCTCCCTCTCTCCCTTCCTTTCCTTTCTTTCTTCCTTTCCCTTTTTCTTTTCATTCCTTTTTTTTTGAGGGGGGGTTGTTAAAGAGCTGTTTTATTTCCCTGAATATAAGGAATGAATACTACCATTTGTGTCAACTTTGAAAAGGGCTCCCAGGAGAGGGTAATGGGGGTGACTATGATCAGAGCACATTATATAAAAATAGAATGAAACTGATAAAAGGGTGAAGGAGAGAAGAAAGCTGAGAAAAGGCATTATATATAGGTAAGTTCAGTCAAATTGTGTTATATGTATGTATGTAAATATTAAGAAAACTCCCTGTATATTAGATTTTTTTTTTGCCAGTCATGGGGCCTGAACTCAGGGCCTGGGCGCTGTCTCTCAGCTCTTCAGCTCAAGGCTAGCACTCTACCACTTGAGCCACAGCGCCACTTCTGACTTTTTTCTTTTTGCTTATGTGGTGCTGAGGAATCAAACCCAGGTCCTCATGCATACAAGGCAAGCACTCTACCACTAAGCCACCTTCCAGCCCCATGCTTGACTCTTTTAATTACAATTTAGTTACATCCTTTTCCCACAGCACTTTAATTAAAACATCCTGTTAGAAGCTCCTTGAATTTCAGTTATATCCTGTTCCTTAAGCTACATCTTTCTGCAGACTGTGAACCAGGGCTCAGCCAATGACAGCAAAGGGGTGGGGCTTGCTGGATTAGGGATAAAAAGGCTGCAGCCTGCAGGTTCTGTGTCCTTGCGTGTCAGTTTCTTGGCTGCTGATGTGCCCTTCTGCAGAAATAAACCTTGCTTTGCTGAGTTCCTTTTGAGTTGATGTCTTTATACCTACTTAACACCCCAACATCCCGAGACATTTCTAACATGAGGTAGGACTACATCCCAAACTAGATGATTCCAAAGCTTTGTGCATAACTATTAATTTCAACTGTCTGCTTCTTGAGTGTGCTTGGTTACCACACTAAACTGGGACCTGTAGTTTAAAACCACTAACTCCCTAAAACCCAGGCTGTGGTTTCCAAATATTCTCCACTAAGAGAAACCAGAACTTCTGAACTTACATATACTCCTTAAATTACATATACTCCTTAACTTATATATATAAAAAGAGAGAGAGAAAGAGAGAGAGAGAGTATATAGAGTCTCTATACTACATATACTGAAATAACTGGAAATATCTTGTCTACCTCTGACCGAATGAACTTGGACTATCTAGTCTTATAAGGAAGAAAGCTCAGTGGAAACATATTAAAATGTCCAAACTAAAGGGGCTCCTGCTGGGAAAGGATAGGACAATTTATGTATCAAAAGGAACAATGGAATGGAACATACCAAATAGGTTAAAAATTCACCAATTCTTTTGGAAAAAAGAAAACAAACAGAAGCCAGGCACTGGTGGCTCACACCTGTAATCCTAGTTACTCAGGAGGCTGAGATCTGAGGATCCCAGTTCAAAGACAACCCAGACAGAAAAATCCTGGTGAGACTCTTATCGCCAATTAGCCACTCAAAAATCTCAGTGGCCCAATAGCTCAAAATGGGCAATAGCCTTGAGCAAAAGAGCTCGAGTTTAGTGCCTGGGTCCTGAGTTCATACTCTATGACCACCACAACCACCATCACCACCATCAACAAAAAAAAGCCTGGTGCTCGTAGCTCATGGCTGTAATCCTAGCTACTCAGAAAGCTGAGATCAAAGGATTGTGGTTTAAAGCCAGCCAGCTGGGGCAGGAAACTCCATGAGACTTTTTTCTCCAATAAACCACCAAAAAGTAGTACTGTAGCTCGAGTGTTAGAGAACTGGCCTTGAGCTGAAGAGCACAGGGACGATGCCCAGGCCCAGAGTTCAAGCCCCACGAGTGACCAAAAAAAAAAAAAAGGAATAAAACTCAAAGGTACCCCTATGACAGAATAAGCTTTGACGATCTAGTCATATAAGAAGGAAAGTTCTGGGGTTGGGAAGATGGCTCGGTGGTAGAGTGCTTGCCTTGCATGCATGAGGCCCTTGGTAATAGTTCTCAGCACCACATAAATAGAAAAAGCAGGAAGT